CTGCTCGTGAAGATGATCAGATTTAATTCTCAAAACTTCACCTTGTTTAATTCTCAGAACTTCACCATGTCTCCCTCTGTTGCCCAGGCTGGAGTGCAGTGGCACAATCTCAGTTCACCACAACCTTCACCTTCTGGGTTCAAGCAATTCTCCTGCCTCAGCTTCCTGAGTGGTTGGGATTACAGGTGCCTACGACCACACCTGGCTAAATTTTGTATGTTTAGTAGAGATGGGGTTTCACCATGTTGGCCAGGCTGGTCTCAAAGTCCTGACCTCAAGTGATCCACCTACCTCAGCCTGCAAAAGTGCTGGGATTACGGGCATGAAGATCAGCCAACTGAGGCTCAGAGAGTTTGAGTAACCTTCCCGGTAACAGCAGAGCTGAGATTAGAACCCAAGTCTGTTGGGCTCCCAAGTTCAAACCCCATGCTGTATTTTCTCTCCTGTGGGAGCACAGTGAGCTGCCAGCATAGGTTAGCTGCAGCATGAGTTCCCAGATAGCTCAATGAATTCATCCATGGAATACCGCTGCCCGGAGCTTTCCATCTGGTTGTCAGAGTGCATTTGCCAAGACTCAAGAACAACAGTGCTGCTTTGGGCATAATTAATGTTTAGACAATAACTGGTCAGCATGTTCAGCTGCTTCTTGAGGTCACTCCTGGGATAGGAAAATAGGACCCTGTATTGGCATAAACAGGATGTTTGTTTTCTTTGTGCTCTATCACTAGGCCATTATCTCGGTCATGTAGAAGTTACACCAAATTGCTCAGGTGCAGATTCAGAAAGGGGGAGGATACGACCCGGCCTAGTTTTGTGCTGTTTAAAATAGAAAATGAATGAATCTGAAATCCGTTTCTGCTCAATATGATTCTTTGGTTCGTATTTTAATAAAGTCCTAAAAGAACATTTAAAAAGTCTTAGGTCAGTTTTGAAATCGTATTGTGTGGCCCATAAAGAATTCCTGTTTATGGGGTCAAAAGCTAATGTAGTCAGGAAATCAATACATAGTTATTACGGTCCTAATACCTGCCACCTCCTGCCCACCTTCCCCCCTACCTCTGGGCATGATGGGCGATTCAAAGACAGGCAGAGCTCTTGACTCAAGTTATTTATATGCTTCAGAGTTTTCAAATGCTGTATACATCAGAATCATCTCTGAAGCTTGTCAAAGACAGGGCTGTCTGGCCCCGACTACAGACCCATTGAATCAAAATCTCAGGGAGTGGGCTGGGTTTCTTTATATGTATTTAACAGATTCCTTGTGTGTGATTCTGATACTCATCAGTTTTCAAGCCAGCCCCATGGTTGATGTTGTTTTGGTAATATAAACTCTTACAATAGAAAACATCGCAGGAAGTATGTATAGGAGATACAGAAGCATATATATGTACATTATTGAAGTGTTCCTATAGGGCAGGCATGGTGGCTCATGCCCGTAATCCCAGCACTTTTGCAGGCTGAGGTAGGTGGATCACTTGAGGTCAGGACTTTGAGACCAGCCTGGCCAACATGGTGAAACCCCATCTCTACTAAACATACAAAATTTAGCCAGGCGTGGTGGTAGGCACCTGTAATCCCAACCACTCAGGAAGCTGAGGCAGGAGAATTGCTTGAACCCAGAAGGTGAAGGTTGTGGTGAACTGAGATTGTGCCACTGCACTCCAGCCTGGGCAACAGAGGGAGACTCTGGCAAAAAAAGGGTTGGGGGGTGGGGAGAGAGAGAGAGAGAGAGAGCGAGAGAGAGAAAGAGAGAGAGAGAAAGGAATCACAGATAAATAATATCTATTATTATAAATAATAATAAATATTTGTTGAGTATATGTATCAGGCTTTGTTAATTCATTCAACAAATATTGTTAAAAGCCTACTAGGGGCCAGGTATGGTACATGAGAAAATGAAACAAACAAAAGTTCCTACCCTCAGGAAATTTATAGGAGAACACCAACAATAAAACTAAATAAAACAGTTACATGAGACAAGTGTCATGGGGAGAAGTAACACAGGAGGGGATCAAAATACAGAAGAAGGTGGGGCTACTTGGGAGGCCAAGGTAGGAGAATTGCTTGAATCCGGGAGGCGGAGGTTGCAGTGAGCCAAGATCGCACCATCGCACTCCAACCTGGACAACAAGAGCAAAACTCCATCCAAAAAACAAACAAACAAACAAACAAACAAACAAAGAAGAGGGTGGGGAAAGAATTGAGGGAGAGGGGGAGGTGGAATAATTGGAGCACAACGATTCCAGGTTTGGGGAACAGTGCAAAGCCCTGACCAGAGGAGGAACATTCAAGAAACTGCAAGGAGGCCAGGGAGCTGGGAGACACTAGGATGTTGGTCAGAGAGCAAGGAGTGGGCAGCGGCGTGGGCCTTGTCGGCCACTGGAGGACTTTGGTTTTACTCTGAGTGAGATGGAAAGGGTTCTGAGTTTGGAAATGACATAGACTGACAAGCTTCAACAGGCTCATTCTGGCCAATGAGAATACGTTGTTGGGAGTTGGCAAGGCCGGAATCAGGAGATCAGTTAAGAGGCTGCTGCAGTCATCCCTGGGAGAGATGATGAAGGGGCAGGGATGGGAGCAGTGGACGTGCTGAGAAAAACATGGCTTCCCGGTGTGCTCTGAAGACAGAGCCTGCAGTTTTGCTGATGGCTTGGATATAGATTATGTGAAGGGACTACAACAGAAAGTTTTTCAAGGATGCTGAGGGTGACACTGGCTGTGCTTTCTCTGTGGTCAGGTTTGATTCTGGGTGTGAGCCATCATTTGGTTCCAAGAAAATGATTATATTTTCATTTTTAAAATGTATCTTGTGAGATTAGGCAGTATTTGTCTTTCTGTATCTGGCTTATTTCACTTAACAAAATATCCTCCAGATCCATCCATGTTGCCATAAAGGACGGGATTTTCTTCCTTTTCACAGCTACATAGTATTCCATTGTGTTTATTTGCCACTTATATATGGAATCTAAAGAAGCTGATCTTATGGAAATAGAGAGTAGAACAGTAGTTACCAGAGGCTGGGGAAGGTAGGTGGCGGGGGACAGGGAGAGGTTCAGCCACAAGTACCAAGTTATAGTCAGGAGGAGTAAGTTCTGGTGTTCCATTGCACAGTAGGGTGACTATGGTTAACAATGCTGTATATTTCAAAATAGCTATAAGACAGAATTTTGAATGTTCTTACCACAAAAAAATGATAAAGCTATAAGGCGATGGATATTCTAAATATCCTGATTTGATCATTATACAATGTATACATGCGTGAAAACATCACACTACCCCATAAATATTATACATCAATAAATTTTTTAAAATTAAACACATATTGTACACTTAACATTAGTGAATCTACTGGCTGAGCACAATGGCTTATGCCTGTAATCCTAATTTGGGAGATTGAGGCTGGCAGATCACTTGCGGTCGGGAGTTCGAGACCAGCCTGGCCAACATGGTGAAACCCCTTCTCTACTAAAACACAAAAATTAGCTGGATGTCATGGCACATTCCTGTAATCCCAGCTACTCAGTGGGCTGAGGCAGGAGAATTACTTGAACCTGGGAGGCGGAGGTTGCAGTGAGCTGAGATTGCGCCACTGCACTCCAGCCTGGGTAACAGAACAAGACTGTCTCAAAAAAAAAAAAAAAAAAAAAAAAGTAGTGAACTTATTATAAGTACATAAGACTTTAGAGAAAAAATCTCATTGCAAGGAGCAGTCAGGGAAGTTCTGACTGGCTGCCGCAAGACTCTTGCTGGAATCTGGGTAAACAGGGACAGTACCCACAATACTATTTCTTCCTGACACATAGGTGATCTTAGGAAAGCTGCCTTGGCCAACGAAAAGATAGGAGAGTGAATAGTATTTATTGTTCAGTTTGGTTTAAAGCACTTTTTTGGTAAGTCCTCAAAAAATCTTTTCTAAGGCTGATAGTGGAGGATATTACTATCCCCATTTGAGGGTTCAGGAATCTGAGATCTAGAAAGGGTGAAAGATGTGGAAAGGATGAACTCTACTAGATCAAACCTTTGATTTTACGACTTCCTCCTCTTAATTGAGTGGCCTGTTGTACAGTGACTGGCCCTCAATCCAGGGAACAAAAGTATATTTCTTTCTCTCTCTCTCTCTCTCTCTCTCTCTCTCTCTCTGTATGTGTGTATATGTGTGTGTGTGTGTGTGTGTGTGTGTGTGTGTCTGTGTGTGTGTGTGTCTGTCTGTCTGTCTATCTGTCTCATACTTGGGTTACTAAGTACAATGATCTAGTAAAAGAATTGGAACTGATTGTTCAAATCATTCAAACCTTCTATATAAATTAGGCCTCTTCTCTGCCTTCTTTTTTTTTTTTTTTTTTTTTTTTTTTTTGAGACGGAGTTTCGCTCTTGTTACCCAGGCTGGAGTGCAATGGCGCGATCTTGGCTCACCGCAACCTCCGCCTCCTGGGTTCAGGCAATTCTCCTGCCTCAGCCTCCTGAGTAGCTGGGATTACAGGCACGCACCACCATGCCCAGCTAATTTTTTGTATTTTTAGTAGAGACGGGGTTTCACCATGTTGACCAGGATGGTCTCGATCTCTTGACCTCGTGATCCACCCGCCTCGGCCTCCCAAAGTGCTGGGATTACAGGCTTGAGCCACCGCGCCCGGCCTTCTGCCTTCTGTTTGTGTTCATTTGGTCATTTTATTTCTGCATGGCAATTTTCACTGAGGAGTGGGATAGGAAAATAAAAAGATATGAAAGTCATTAGGTAGTGTAGAGAAGAATTTTAATAGAAGCCTCAGTAGAGAATGCAGATGTAATTAGCACTAAAATGAAATTCTGAATTGCCGGTGGATTTCAGCTTACTTTACTCTACAAATCCTTTGTTCCCTTAAAAATGTGAGTTCAATTATGCCAAGCACCTAGCAAGGCTGTGCTGCTTTTGTCCTGCTGAAGAAGCCTTGTCTGCACCAGGGTGGACGTGAGGAGGGCCTGGACCAAGTAATAGAATTTAATGCATTTGCCTGTTTCAGTTTGCAGTGATGATCTCACCCACAAATTCAAAGGTTTCACCGTGATGAATGAAGCGGAGAGATACGAAGCTCTCAGACACTGTCGCTATGTAGACGAAGTAATCAGAAATGCTCCCTGGACACTCACGCCAGAGTTTCTGGAAAAACACAAGGTACTTGTCATTCTCCTGTATTCTCTAAGTAGCAAGAGTAGGGAGTCTGGTTCTGCAGCCAAGACTACAGAAAGCCCAAAGTCTCTCTCAATTCCTAAAAGAGGCAACTTCAGAAACTGTCATGTGGCATTGCTTGATGTGGCATCTTTCTTCCGCCCAAGTCTGAGGACTGGTATCCTCTCACTTCTTTGAGTATGGACCCTGAAGCTAGAACACTCAGGTCCAAATCCTGCCTCTATCTCTTCGTCGTTGTCAGACCTTGAACAAAATATCTAAGCACACTGTACTCGCTTATCTCAACTGCAAAATGGGATGATGTTGGCATCTTCATGGTGGGCATGTTTTGAAGATCTAAGAGATAATCTTAGTTAACCAGTTAGAATACTGGCTGGCCCATAGCAAGAGTGCCAAAAATGTCATTGTCGCCACCATCGCCACCGTCATTGTTGATGCTTATCGATTCACAGGCATTCCTTTTCATGGAATAAATGAACACACATCTTATCCAGAAAGTCACAGGTCAGCCTTTGAAGAAAGTACTTTATATCTATGATTTTGTGACCCTGAGAATCCTACTGACATAAGATTTTTATTAGTTGAAAACATGAGAAATTCTTTTGATCTGCATCAAATTATGTGCTTTGCATCTCCCTACCAGTCCCACATTAGGAGCTATTCTTTCCTTTTATAAGCAGTACAAAAAAATAAGATTAAGCTGTTCTAAGAATTTTCTTTTCTATTTTTAAAGCCACGATGCAAAAGAGAATAGAGAACACTGATAAATGTGCATGAGTAATAGCCGAGGAGACAATTTCCCAGTGAGAATCAAAAGAAAAAGGAAAAACTACAATATGATTTACTTCCAGTAATCACTATCACATTTTTTACTAAGCATCTATTGTATATTCAACATGTGCTAGGCATTATGGGGGATACTTATAATGATAATGATGCCCTGTAATTTATTGAGTATCTACCATGTGCCCGGCACTGTGCTAAGGGCTTTGTTATTATATGAATTGAATTCAATCTCACAGCTACCCTGAGAAGTTGTTATTATACATTGGAGAGAAAGAGGAACTAAGTTTAAGTACTAAGAATAGAATTAATAATAATAATAATAATAGTAATAATAAACACTGATTGAGGATTTACTCCGTACTAATTATTTTAAAGCATTTTTATATAATTACATTATTTAATCCAGTGATTCTCAGCTAGGGTGAGATTGTCCTGAGGAACATTTGGGAATGTCTTGAGACATTTGGGCTTATCACAGCTAGAGGGGTACTGCTGGCATCTAGTGGGTAAAAGCCAGGGATGTTGCTAAGCATGTGCCAATGCACAGGACAATTCCCAACACCAAAGAATTCTCCAGTCCCGAATGTCACTAGTACTGAGCTTCAGAAATCTTGAGGGAATCATTTCTCCCAACTTATATAGCTTAAGTAGTGGGGCAGGGAATCATACTACTCTAAACTACCTCTCAAGTATTTAACTACGACTAATCTAAATTACCTCTCAAGGTAGAGTGAAATCCCGTTATAAAGGGCTTTAAAATCTAGGCAAGGAGGGTTTACTTGATGTTGCAGGAAACAGGGATAAAGATGAAGATGACTAGAAAAAAAAATGTTTAAGGAGAATACCCCATGTGACAGCAGGATGGCTTGGAGAAGAGGGAGCCTACAGCGAGGAGGGCCAGATGCAAGTTGGTATCAGTAATCTGGGTGCCCAGGTCCTGGGTTTGGTGTAGTTGCAATGGAGAGAAAATGATGGGCACACACCTATACGTGTGTGTGTACAAACACACACACACATCCCCCAGCGGAACCTATGATGAGTGAAATAAGTAGAGGAAGAAGGCTTATTCCAAGGTTTGGGTCTTCCCAAGACCCAAAATAAATAAAATAGAATAAAAGTGCCATTGGAAGGGGTCACTTGTTTTCAGGAAGATGAATTAAATGCAGGACAGGATGATTTAAGGTGACAGCAAGATGTGGTAAAAGAGAGGGTTGCAGTGGGAGTTAAGAACACCAGGCCTGGTGCCCTGGTGGCCCATTAAACCTGGCCCAGTGCCCTGGCGGCCCACTCCAGTTTTTAAGCCTCAGGCAAATCTAACAAATTTTTTAGTTTCAGCACCTTATGTCCCAAGTGAAGTAGTAACATGTGGCCTGCCCACCTCACAAGGTGGTTATGAGGATCAAGTAGGGAAAGACACAAGTTCCTTTTCACAGTATAAAATGTGATCTAAATGTGAGGGCCCATTGCCATCAGTGGGACAGGAAATGAAGATTTGGGTTCCTCATCATAGCAGGGATGATAAACATTCAAAGAATGAATGGGTTCTCTCAAGGAGAAACTTTAGATGCAGAAGGACAGAAGGCCAAGAAAACCTACTCTCAGAGGTAGGAGAAGAAAGAGGGATCAGCAAAGGAGAGAAAAGCAAAACATTTATTCTTCTAGTTCCCATTATCTCATAGAAATGGAAATAGTTGGAAATACACTTCAGCCAAGGATTCAGATCTCCACTATAAATGTAACATACAACTGCCTTATTTTGAAGAGGCATTTTGGAGTCACCATTCCCCCCTTTAAATCTGCAGACATGCACATCCATCCCAGTGGTGACATCACTCTTCTCTCTCTTCAACAGATTGACTTTGTGGCTCATGATGACATTCCATATTCCTCTGCTGGCTCTGATGATGTTTACAAGCACATAAAGGAAGCAGGTGAGGCATATCCCTGTGCTCACCTGTCCACTACATCACAATAATCAGGTGTAATAAGAGATATCTGCCCTGGGACATCTGCAGTATATATAAACAGGGAGTAACAACTTTACGTGTCCCCCAAACAGCTTCTACAAGCCACTGTTAACATGTCCTAAGGCTCAGACATGGCACAGATACCAGCTAGGTATTTATACAGGAATGAACCTGAGCACCAAAGTGCTCAATTTCAGGCCTGAGGCGCGATTTCAGGGCTCATCAAATGAAAATTGCAGGACCCCATTGCTTAAAGGGCAGTCATTTTCCCCATTCATAATTAAGTCTTCACAATGAAATTATTGTATACTCCCAAGAAATTTCCTTCTGGAAGATAGAGAGATAACTGACTAGTTACTGGTCTAGACTCCTTGTCTCCAAAATTAGTCCTGCCATATTTCTAGTGTCATCTTGTCACATGTTAGTAATATTATCAGGTATCACATGTGGAAGCAAAAAAATGGGTGAATGTTTTCGTGGCTTGTCTTATTTTCTGCTATTTTTTTAATCTACCATGCATCTCATCTATAGGCACTGTAGGTATGCCCATGCATACCTTCTTATATACATTAAACCATTATCTGGCAGGTGCAGGTACTATAGAGAGTTACCATATGTGTAGGGTTTCAAGAAGTCTAATGCTCCCTGCATTATACTAGAGCCATTGTTGACATGTGCCATCAGAGGCGTCTTCCCCACTCCTGGGGACCAATGAGACTCCATTCAGCTTGCTCCCACTATTTCCTGCTCAGCCCGCTGCTGCTGCAGCCTTTTCCTGGTACTCATGAACCTTCAGATTCTTGAGGTAGGATGGGCTCCTGGGGGTCAGTGACCCAGGCTCCCATCCTCTTCTTGGCATCGTTGCCAGCTCCTGGCAGAAGTGATGCTTTTACATTTCCCATGATGGGAAACTCCCCTGCCTTCTAAGGCAGCCTGTTCCCTCTTCGGATGGTTTTGGCTGTCATTGTTTAATATGTGAATCCCCTGAGTGCATCTATAAGCCAGGAATTGTATGAGAGAAAATGAATAAGACATAGACCTCACCCTTGAGAGAGAGCAGAGATAGACATAACAATTACCCCAAATATAACCAGCCTGTGGCAGAGTGTATACAGCAGGCCAGGGTGGCGTGTCCGAAGGTGGGACTGTATGAAGAAGCAGTGCATATTTGGAGAAAATAAACATGTTAATGTAGTGCAGGGTGTGTGGAAGTAGGAGATGGAGATGGAGACTAGCAGGATGAGGCTTGCTTTCATATGTTGTTACATGGAACCAAATCCTGCTATGAGGCAGGGGAATGCCATGATTGGGACTTTTGTGTGGGAAGGAGCAACTGAGGGGGCCATAAGTGGTTTCCATAACTAAACTTAATCAGGAGCTCCCATTTCCACAGCTGACAAAAAAAAAAAAAAAAACAAAACAAAACAAAAAAAAACCACTTGACATGTGAAGTCATGCAGACTCTTCTGGGTTTGTACTTAAGACTGTATAGAGTAAACTTTTTTGCCTTTTTCTCTTGAGGTGATCTAAGTTTCTGGCACACTCTGGCCTGGCATGGGATGGGGAACTTAAGTTGTGAGGTCTCAAGACCTGCTCAGCCATCAACCCCACCTACCAGACCCCTGTGGCAGCCTCTGAGACTCTGTCACCTCCCCGTTTTGGCTTGTCCCGGCCACAGCCTCTGATGCAGGATTCCCTTCCCTGTGCTACAGGTGTGCTGCCCAGCAGTCATGCTGATCTTAAATCTTGGCTTCCTTCCATGTTCTTCTAGAGAGTCCCCAGGAAATTTTTAAAGAAATGTCCTCCATAATCTCCTAGAGGGCAAAGGAAACTGGGCAATGGGAGTAAGCCATGTCAGGCCCTGTCTGACCTGCCCACCATGTTGGCCTCTGTAAAACTATTTCCTTGCAAAATTCCTGGCAGCACAAGGTGCCAGTGGCCCTGCATTGAGCTTTCTAAAGGGGTCTCTTCCCTGCCCCTGGCCCTGGGATTTGAACCTGAGTCAGACCAAGAGACAGACCCCACTCCTGTTCTCTCACTTCTGCTGCCTGCCTCCCGATCCCTCTCGGCACTCCTTCCCTCAATTCCCAGAGGTGTTTTCTTCGTCCTGGAAGGCTGAAAACTGCCCCTTAATTAATTTCATGCCTTCCCGGTGTTAATTTACACTCCAGGGCTTAAAGTCAAACATTCTGCACCCTGAGTCTACTCAGTCTCTGTTTCTTAATAGTTCAAAAGACACTTCTGGGATTTAGAACACCCTTTTTATACTCCTCAAAGCCTGGCTCTTCCTAGTGAAATTATTGCCTTTCTTAACTCTTCTTTTTAAATGAGCCTTAAAAAGAGCCTGTTTTAGAAGTTGAAGTCTGAACACGATCTTCTGAACGCTCAGCTACATCTGCCTCCTCTTGAAGTGATCGAGGTCTCAGTGTCTGTGGGAATGGGACCTCAGGACAGACATGATCCCTAGAAATGAAAACAACATTGGATGCTAGTTTGAAAAATTATTGTTATGTAGAATGTATGTATTCTCCCTGATGGCATTTTTATTGGTTCACACTCCTTGGGGGCCAGCCTGGGAAGCTCCATGCCATTTCCTGCAGGGGTGGTGGTAGGGACTGTACCATCCTTTTAGGGAGGACTTCCTCAGAAGTCAGGATCATTGGATAAGAATGGGAGGCCTGACATTCTCAAGTCTCAATCTTGTTTGTGAGGAGTTTCAAGGAAGGAAACCTCATATACTTCAGACTTGGAAGTCTGCTCTGGAACTGGAGAAGAAACTGGCAGATGCCTCAGTTACATCAAGATGGGTTGTGGCATGGCATGGTTAATATTTATTTATTTACTTACTTAATTTATGAGACAAGGTCTCACTCTGTCACTCAAGCTGGAGTATAGTGGTACAATCATAGTTCTCTGCAACCTCCACTTTCTGGGCCCTGGTGATCCTCCCACCTCAGCCTCTCAAGTAGCTGGGACTACAGGCACACACCACCATGCCCAGCAAATTAAATTTTTTTTTTTGTAGAGATGGGGTCTCCCTATGTTACCCAGACTCATCTCAAACTCCCGGGCTCAAGTGATCCTCTCACCTCAGCCTCCCAAAGTGCTGGGATTACAGGTGTGAGTCACCATGCCTGGCTTGATTAATACCCTTTAAAGTTGTTGTAAGATGTGAGCTGTGAGCCAGCTGCTCCTTTCCTAAAATTTCCATAAGGATTTGTTATAGACCAGTGATTATGAAACTTAGATATGCCTACAGATCATCTGTGGAATCTTGTGAAAATTCAGATTCAGATTCAGATTCAATTGGTCTGGTGGGGCCAGAGATTCCCATTTCTAGTAAGCTCTGAGGTTGTTAGATGCTGTAGGTCCATAGGCCTCATTTAAAGTAGCAAGGTTCTGGACCAGACATTCTCAACCAGTTGAATTATCCCCAGGGTTTCTTGAATCAGTGTTTCCCAGGGGTGATAGTTCCTTGGCTACCTTATAGGATATAGAAATAAGCATTTGGTGGCAGCTTTCCTTCTGGGTGAGTGGCCGTCAGTGAGCTAAGAATATGTTGCTTTCCTGATCTGGGGAGTAAAATGTCAAGTTCCAGTTGTTTAGGTGTAGAAACCAGGTCCAACATTTTCCTAACTCTAGCAATCCAGCATCCCTATTGGTGCATAAGAAAGTGACTCCTAAAGTTAGTGACTTAAAAGAGTCACTTGATTTCACTCATGATTTTGTGGGGCAGGATTTTAGCAGAGGCCTGGCTGGGTAGTTCTTGCTTGGGGTGTCTCAAACAGTTGTAGTCAGATATTGGTTGAGGCTGCAGTCATCTGAAGGCTCGACTGGGCTGGGGCTCCGAGGTGGTACGCTTATGTGGCTGACCGTGGATGCCGTCTATGATCATGGAGTTCAGTTGCAATTATCACTGGGGTACACAGGTGGCCTCTTCATGTTGCTTGGCTTTCTCACAGCATGGCAGCTGAAAGGCAATATCTAGAGAGAAAGCAATCTTGACAGAAGCCACAAGGCTTCTTCTGACTTAGCTTTGGAAGTCACACAGAGTTCCTTTTGCCACATTCATTTGGTACAAGCAAGTCACTGAGGCCAGCCCAGATTCCAGGGGAAGGGAATTATGGCCATCTTTAATCCACCACAGTGCCCTTTCCAAATTGAATAGTCAGGTGGTATTTTACTTGCCTTGGTAGTACAGGGTAAGACTCAGTGTGACTTTTCCTATGTGCAAGGACCCTTCCTTGTGCTGCATCAAATCTGCTCTACTGATTCCTTAGCAGAAGGGAGAATCACAGTAACAATCTATTTGGGACTCAGGTAGAGAAGGCCACAGTTCATCATGGGAGAAAGATGCTGAGAAATGGTCTCAGCATCCATATTTGGCTCTCATACTCAAATCGTGGCTTATTTTGAAAGTCAAAAGTCTCTTTAAATGAAGCCAGCGATATCAAGGGCATGAATTAAGCTTTACAACGTTCTGCTCTGCTTGTCAGAACAATGTGTCAAAATCCTCTAACAAAGCTGGATGAAAAGATGGAGCTTAAATTAAATAGACTGTAAGGTCCACATTACTCATCACCATTCTAATATTGCCTACTACTGTTGAAAGTTTCCTTCATTAACATGTGCTTTGCTGCTTCTTAAAATAGCTCCATAACCAAATGCCGCAATTCTGAAAAGCATGATAAAAAAGGTTCTCTGATCATGCTCATTACCGAATATTTTTAGCAGAGCAATAATTAGGATTTGAAGGAAGCCGGGTACCTCATTATGTCAACAGAGGGCTTGGCTTCTTTCAGAGACCTACCTCCCAACCAGCCAAAGCAAATCTCTCCCTAAGCCAAATCTACTTTCAGTTACTCAAACACAGAGACCTCACCTTCTGGCATCAAAGAAAGGGTAAGCTCATGGCATCGATGTGTTACATGACTTGCTAAAATCCATTAGTCACTAGAGAATCGTCTTATTATTTCAGCAGGAGGGGTGTGAGTAAAATATCTGCCTGCTGAAAGATGGGATGGATTTCTCACAAGAATGTTCCCCATTGTTCCCACAAAGATGGGGATGTCGTTTGAGGGTTCTCCCACCCACCAGAACCTCCTGCACAGCTGGTTCAATTTGGGTGATATTTATATGCATATGTTTAGATATTTACATCTTCTGCCTTCCATTGGGTTGTCCACGTTAGATTCTTCTCTCTTAGAAGGTGATAAAAGAAATGTTTGGCCTACTGGCAAACCCCAACTGTCCTCTGACCATGGAACATAAGAAACTGGATGTCTTGTCTCAATATCATCAGTGCAATCTCCTACTGACACCATAAATGTGCAAATGACATCAAAAGAAAGCTCCAAAGGGACACCCTCATTGGATCTGCAAAATGGAAACATTCAGAGAGAACTGGATTTGGAAGGGTACTTACAGATCAATATTCATCTAGTCATTCATTCAACAAACATTCCTATGGTGTCTGTCTGTCACCCAGTGCTGAGAATGTAGAAGAGGGAGAGAAAGGTGTGATCCCTTCTCTTGCGTAGCTTATAATCAGGTGGAGAAGATGGTTGTTGACCAAGTTATTTTATAAAGATCTTGCTGCATTTGGAGGGAAGGGGAGTGGTCCATGGGAAGGAAAAACACACAGTAAGACCTAGTCTGAGGATTGAGATATTTGCTTGAGGAAGTGACACTAAAGCTGAAGCCCAATGGATGCCCAAGAGTTAACCAGGTAGAGGCTATGTCTGTGGCAGAGTGAGGGGAGGGGAGCCAGCTCTTTCAGGACACTGAAGAAATCCATCGTGGCTAGGCTGAGGCAGGGTCAGCCTACTGCCCAGCTCTACAGAATACAACAGCAGTCCACCCTGCAGTTCTATTGCACGCAGGCCTTGGTAGAAGGAGTGAAGGGGAGAGGGTCTGAGATGAAATTGGAGAGAAGCGCAGGGAAGAGACCATGCAAATTGCTTCAGAGCCAAGTTAAGGATTTTACTCTGAATCCAGAGAAGAGCAGAAAGCCAGTGGAGGGTTTTGAGCAGACCTCTGACTTGCATCTAGTAAGAATGCTCTGTTGGGCCGGGCGCGGTGGCTCAAGCCTGTAATCCCAGCACTTTGGGAGGCCGAGGAGGGTAGATCACCAGGTCAAGAGATCGAGACCATCTGGTCAACATGGTGAAACCCTGTCTCTACTAAAAATACAAAAAATTAGCTGGGCATGGTGGCTCGTGCTTGTAATCCCAGCTACTCAGGAGGCTGAGGCAGGAGAATTGCCTGAACCCAGGAGGCGGAGATTGCAGTGAGCCGAGATCGCGCCATTGCACTCCAGCCTGGGTAACAAGAGCGAAACTCTGTCTCAAAAAAAAAAAAAAAAAGAATGCTCTGTTGATCTTGCTCTGTGGGCTGAGGCAGACAAAAGTGACATCGCTGGAGGTTGGTTTTGAGGTTCTTGCTGTGATCTTTGACCAAGATTTTGTTGAAATGGTTTAGGATGGAGGAAAGTGGGTGAATTAGGAAAACATTTAAGAAGTAGATTGGGAACTCAGTTGGATGTGGGGAGTGAGAGAGAAGGAAATGGTACAGATGAGTCACAGGTCATCATGTCCAATCACCTTTTTCTTAGCTGAGGAGATTACAGTTAAGTAACTTGCCTTCAGAAGGTTTGAGTGACTTGCCCACATCTATATACTGAGAACCCAATGCCCTTGTCCCCAGGCTCTGTCCATCATACTGTCCCATGCCTGATGCGTCTGTCTGAGTGGCTGTAATGATATGGGGTAGAAAGATCTCAGTTGCCAACAACATGTCATTGCAGTTTACAACAGAAGTGTGAACATAAATCTGATTCTTGTCTTTGTTAATATTTGTGACCTCTTTATAGCCCTCTATTTGTTGATATATCCACATTTATCTCTGAAGACTTTAAGGAAGTTCCATTAGAACTTGGCATCCTCTGTGCTTGTTTATTTTTACTCAGTCCCACATATTCTAGATGAAAGGGCCTTTGAATGGTGAAACTACCATGTACAGTAGACTGTTCTTAGGAAGATAAATCATCTAACCATCCCTACAGGCATGCCTTTAGATGAGAGATGACACAAATAATACACTTTTCTTCTTTTCCTTCAGTATAATGGGGATGAAGTTTCCATTATTCAGTTCCCTTGGGATGAAGCGGAGTTGCTGTGATCTTACTAATTCATTGTCTCAGTTGTTAGTCTTGATTTACTTTCTCACTCAATTTGCATTTACTGAGCACTTTCCATGTGCTAGACACAGGGGCTGATCTGGGTGCTGGGGATGCAGAGACAATTAAGGTATTATCGGTGCTTTCAAAATGTTCATTTGCTACGTGGAGACGAATATTTAATTTTTTTTTTTTTTTTTTTTTTTGAGACAGGGTCAGGCTAGAGTGCGGTAGCACAGTCACTGTTCACTGCAGCTTTGACCTTGGACTCAAGTGATCCTCCTACATTAGTCTCCCAAGTAGCTAGGACCACAGGCGTGCACCACCACACCCAGCTAATTTTTGTATTTTTTGTAAAGACTGGGTTTTGCTATGTTGCCCAGGCTTGTCTCGAACTCCTGGACTCAAATGATCTACCTGCCTCGGCCTTCTGAAGTACTGGAATTATAGGTATGAGCCACCATACCTGGCCCAGTGTTTTTGTTAATGAAAGGTAAGTTAGGTTCTGAATGTTGTGGATTCTGCCTGGGAATGTCAGAAAAGACTTCCCAGAGGCATAACCTTGAAGCTGGACTTTGCAGGATGAGGAAGAGCTTTGCAGTTACTATGAGCAGGGAAGGGGTATCCAGGCCAGAAAGGAAAGGCTCAGCATGGGCAAACAGCAGGGGCCAGGCAAGTACCTGGTGCATCCTGGAAACAGGTCTGAGATGATCAACATGTAGCTTTTAAGGTAGGGAGAAATTCCATAGCATTGAGGCTGAAAGAGTCACTTGGGGCCAGACATAAAGGGTTCATTGGCTTACCCAGGAGCTCCAACTTTGTCCTAGAAAGCGGGACTATTAAAGGAGATGGATTAACTGAAGCGATCTTAATTTTTCCTCTATCTGCTCTTTTCTACTTGAACAGGGATGTTTGTTCCAACACAGAGAACAGAAGGCATCTCAACATCGGACATCATTACCAGAATTGTTCGTGACTATGATGTTTATGCACGACGCAACCTCCAGAGAGGGTATACAGCCAAGGAACTGAATGTCAGCTTTATAAATGTAAGCATGCCACCTCAAACTCTCTGAAGACCACCATGTCACACCAACACTGTTGCTGTTTATTAAGCACTTATTAAGTGCTATGCAGTGTTCTCTCTCTCTCTTTTTTTTTTGTAGAGGTAGGGTCTTACTATGTATAATATTTTAAGTTTGATTTAGCTCGGTTTTTTTTTTTTTGAGGCAGAGTCTCATTATGTTGTCCAGACTGGACTTGAACTCCTGGGTTCAAATGAGCCTCCTGCCTCAGCCTCCTGAGTAGCTGGGATTACAGGCATTTGCCATCATGCCTGTGCAGTGTCCTTAATGCTTTGTATTTTTTGTCTCATTTAACCCACACAATAACCCATGATGTATTATTATCCCCATTTTATAGATGACAAAACCAGTGTCCACAGGGGTAACATAAATTTACCAAAGAACACAGGTAGTGAGCTTCATATTTTATAAAGGTGCTTCCTTGCTCCCCTCCTCTTACTCCAAACTCTCTCTTTAGAGTTTTTAGACTTGGTTGAAGGGTTTCTTGGAGATCTGCCCCTTGTAAAACGCAAGAGTTGTCTTCTGCTGAAAGTAAAGGGAGGAAGGCAGAAGCAATGAAAAGCTAAACCCAGATAAACTTTTTTGTTCTAATGTTTTAAAAATTTCATTTGATTAAGGCCTTAAAGATGCTCATTAGAAACCTTAATGGCCATTTTGTATTGTCCAAAGAAATTACAGCTGCTTAAATAAAGCCTAAAGCTTTTGGCTTCCTTTTGTAATTCTACCATATTGTTCCCACAGAGCTGCTGTTAGTTTAATAATAGAGCAATTGTTAAAACAATCTTTAAGTTCTGGGGTACAAGTGCAGAATGTGCAGGTTTGTTACATAGGTATACATGTGCCATGGTGGTTTACTGCACCCATCAACCCGTCATCTACATTAGGTATTTCTCCTGAAGGTATCCCTCCCCTAGCTCCTCACTCCTGAACAGGCCCTGGTGTATGATGTTCCCCTCCCTGTGTCCATGTGTTCTCATTGTTCAACTCCCACTTATGACTGAGAATATACAGTGTTTGGTTTTCTGTTCTTGTGTCAGTTTGCTGAGAATGATGGTTTCCAGCTTTATCCATGTCCCTGCAGAGGACATGAACTCATCCTTTTTTATGTCTGCATAGTATTCCATGGTGTATAGGTGCCACAGTTTCTTTATCCAATCAATCATTGATGGACATTTGGGTTGGTTCCAAGTCTTTACTATTGTGAATAATGCTGCAATAAACATACATGTGCATGTGTCTTTATAGTAGACAAAGAATATTAACAGTGACTTAGATTCCCTCGGGATGCCATTTTTTATATAATAATAATAACAATAAATTTAAAACAAGCAAAATAAGCTGTTATAAAGCAAAGAAGGCAGCCCATTTGCTGGAGGTGATGTTAGTGGTTCTGAACAACTATATTTGCCTGTCCTCTGAGGGGCCGATATCTTTGATTAAAATAAGAACCCTCCATACATACAGAATTCCAACCCCCCACAGTAGATGCTTTGTTTTCAAAGGATGATTCATCTTCAAAACTAGATACTTAAAATTAAATGCAGCTCTAATTATCCAATAGCTCACACGATTGATCATTGGTACCTTCAATATAGGAGGGGCTCATTAACTGTGAATCGGTGATCATGAATTGTCCTTACAAGGCAGGAAGCGTTGAGAGTCTAGGCTCTGTGACCTCATATAAGCTGGGCGACAAAATGTTGAGAAGTGTCAGAAAATGTCAGGTTTGAGTGGCACCAGAACAAGTGGCTGAACATAATTCAGTCAAAGTGATTAGTATCTGATAGAGAATAAAGCCCTGGTTATTTCAATAAATTAAACTGTCTGTTCTTTTAAATTGAATTTGGTCAACCATCCAAGCATGTTAAGCCATTTCCAAAAGTTACTGCTCACACTCTTTAAATGGCGTTTAGATAAGCCACTTAGCTCAAGGAACCGTGCAGGCAGTTCATATGCACTTGCTGCCTTCCTGTGACGGCAAAGCTGACTGCAGCTCAGAGACGAAATGTAATGTATTGCATGGGCGTGTAGACGAATCATGGAACCTCAGAGATGACAGGGACCTGAGGCCAGTGAGTCACCCAGTGCAAGTCTCTCAATTTAGAGATGAAGAAAGCTGAGCCCAGAAAGGGGGCCTGGACAAGGTCCTTCAGGTCAGAGAGAGGTAGAGGCAGCAGCAACTTCCCAGTCTCATGACTCCCAGTCCAGTGCTCATTCAGCTATTCTGTGATGGCCTGAGAGCCATATATAGTTACTATTTCCAGTGCAGAATAAACTGTGGAAAAGAGTGATACAAGTGTTTTACTTGGATTATCTCATTTAATCCTCACCATGAGCCTACAAGGTGGGTGTGATGACTGTGTCCAACATAGAGATGAGGAAACAGAGTCCCAGAGAAGTTGAACAACTCACCTAAGGTCACATAGTAAGTTATGGAAGACAGAATGATCTCCCATAGCATATATATGTGTATATATATGTATCAGTGGCAACACATATAGCTTCAAAAAATTCTGAAACAGGCCAGGCACGGTGGCTCATGCCTATAATCCCAGCACTTTGGGAGTCTGAGGCAAGTGAATCACTTGAGGTCAGGAGATCAAGACCAGCCTGGTCAACACGGTGAAACCCCGTCCCTACTAAAAATACAAAAAATTAGCTAGGTGTGGTGGTGCACGCCTATGATCCCAGCTACTCAGGAGGCTGAGGCACAAGAATCGCTTGAACCTGGGAGGCAGAGGTTGCAGTGAGCTGAGATTGTGCCTTTGCACTCCAGCTTGGGCAACAGAGTGAGAATCCATCTCAAAAAAAAAAAAAAATCTAAAACACAAAATGAACTTTAGTCCCACATAGTAAAGAAAAATGATAAGTCTTCCTACCCCTTTAGGAGAAACGTGATTTCATGGAGGAAGAGCCTTTGTCTCATGTTATTTTCATGGTTTTAATATTGCTCTCATCAGGTAAGAAAGACAAATGCCTCTACCAATTAATACTAATGAAACAACCAACACACACTGAGCATTTAGTAAATACTGGGCTTTGTGCCAAGCACTTTGCATGCATTGTCACAGCAACTCTAAGGTAGGGATGATTATCATCCCCATTTTACAGATGAGAAAACTGAGTTTTAGAGGTGACATGTGAGTTGCCCAGCATATGATGGCTTCCAAGCACATAAGTAGACATTGCTGCAGAAAGACTTATAAGAAGAACAAAATCTGAGTCTAGAGAAACTATCAGCACAAAAGCTTTCATCACCACCAAGGAAATCAATACAGTTGAATTCGCGTAGTGGAAAATATCATTACAGTGGAAATTTTAGTATAACACACAAGTTCCAAGGCCCAGTCAATGGCCCACTTATTTCAAGCAATATTGTTTTAACCACATCCCAGTAAAACAGAGAACACAGGCAGCTTCTGAACAGTCACTGTGCGTAATTCATACTTTCGTCTAAGTCCTGGCAGAATTGAATGGGGTTATATGCCCAATATCTACCCAGAACAAAAGACAGCTGTGTGTTTTTTAGTCTCCTCTTATGTAAGTGAATCCAACTGAAAGACATTTGAAAGAAAGAAGATATTAAAACCACTGGTGCTTCCCTTTACATATCCAAATGGATTAATGGCAGACAACTTTTCTGGCAAGACGTGTGCCCCCCTATCAACCTAGCCCTTGGGAAATGGTAACATCTTGACTCTTTAGGTTGGGAACAAACACAAATTGAAATAAAACGTGAACTTTACTGTGAATGATTGATCTCCCTCATGTCCTCTTGGATAAATCAGTTTTTTTTTTTCCTGTAAACTTTCACCAGGAGAAGAGGTACCGTTTCCAGAACCAGGTGGACAAAATGAAGGAAAAAGTCAAGAATGTAGAGGAAAGATCAAAGGAATTTGTGAACAGAGTGGAAGAAAAGAGCCATGATCTAATTCAAAAGTGGGAAGAGAAGTCAAGGGAATTTATTGGCAACTTCCTAGAATTGTTTGGACCTGATGGAGCATGGGTACGTAATTATTTCACTTGATCCCGCAATGGTGAGTGTTTTCAGTTTATCGTCCTTTTTATGGAGCCACTCGAGGGTGCCTCTTATCTCACTTCCACTATGTGCCCTCTGTTTTGGGCATCAGCCTGAATGATGTAAAGTCCGTGTCACTTCCTTACTGAGTTTCTGCTTTACCCATCAATATGGCACCCAGCAGCACCCAAAGCCAGGTCTGGTCTCAGTTTCTATTTCTTATCCAGAGCTCGGAAGCCATTTGGGTGATCATTGAGTGTCTAGTACTTCACGGATTGATGCTGTCACTCATCTCAGTCTCCCAGTTGGAGATGATGAAAGTTTGGGAGTACAGGTGAAGTGGGTTAGTGGCAGCACGGAGCTTGTGTTACAAGACATGGATGATGAGCTCTTGGATAAACTACTAGCATTTATGTTTTGGGGAGGAGAATCCAAAGAAATGTAATACATCAGTCAGTTTTTGTTGTCAGGAGCCCTCCTCTTTTACCGGTTGGAAGAGAGGGAGAAGCGGTAGGAGTTTGCTCCGCATCTGTGCCCATCGTGCCCTGATTTTCCCCGGTTTTTCATGGCATGCAAGTGTTGGGATAAGGCACAACAGTCTTTGGGGACTGAGGCCATGATCTGAATCTTAAAACTGAGAGGGAATGCTCAAGCCTGTAATCCCAGCACTTTGGGAGGCCGAGGCGGGTGGATCACGAGGTCGAGAGATCGAGACCATCCTGGTCAACATGGTGAAACCCGTCTCTACTAAAAATACAAAAAATTAGCTGGGCATGGTGGCTGTTGCCTGTAGTCCCAGCTACTCAGGAGGCTGAGGCAGGAGAATTGCCTGAACCCAGGAGGCGAAGGTTGCGGTGAGCCGAGATCGTGCCATTGCCCTCCAGCCTGGGTAATAAGAGCGAAACTCCGTCTCAAAAAAAAAAAAAAAAAAAAAAAAAAAAAAAAAAAAAAAAAAAAAAAAACTGAGAGGGAATGTAGAGCGTCTCCTTGCCTAAAATCTATAGACAACGCTGAATGATAACTATGAAAAGGGAAAAGAAAATGCTGGAAACCTCTATTGGCACTTTATTGGTATTTCTGTTGTGCATACCCTTCCCAAGGAAATACCAGTATTGTCACGAGAGTTGATGAGTGGTCTGTAAAAGAGATACCGAAAGTTTACTTTAGAGCTGCCGAAGGGTCGATGAGGGTTGTATGAAACAGATACTAAAAATGAACTTTCCTTCTACAACAAAAAGAAATAATTCCATTTGATTTCTCTGATTTTAAGTAGCCTGGATTTCCTATTATAATATGAGAAGTCTCTAACAAAATCCACTTTGACTTAATTCTTTTATTGATGGGTTGTTACTGCTACCACTGCTTGTTTGAGCTCATTCATTATGGGATTATCTAAAAGTGACATGCTGAATTAGTATTAGAAAAGGAACAATGTTTGGGAAGTTGGGAGAGATGCTTTGGTTAACACCTGGTGGCCTCTAAGTGATTATTTATAGAGGTGGGTGTTATAGGCTAACCATGTCCTATCGGCTGAGTCTGAGATGGGTAGAAAGTTTAGAAGGGCTGCATGAGCCCTCAGTGACTCCTAGAAGGAGCTGGCAAGAGTGGAAGAGCCAAGGGCTGGGCTCCTTTTCATTTTCCGTAGGCCTGTTAAAAATTTCAGCTCAGATCATTTAATTACTGGTACATTTCTTAATGTTCTTGTCTATGCACAGCACTATGGAAGAACATAAGGACAGACGAAGTACAGAACCTGTTCTCTGGTCTCTATGACATAGGGTCTGAAATTTCTTATTTAGTCTCATGTGTATTTTAATAGTTCACATTTTCACAACTAATTTTCAGGGTCTGAAAAAACAGCTAGTGGTTTTTAAGGAAACCATGTAGGTATTCATTTGTGCAGGCGTCCCCAAACTACGGCCCGCCCACGGGCCGCATGTGGCCCCCTGAGGCCATTTATCCGGCCCCCCGCCGCACTTCAGGAAGGGGCACCTCTTTCATTGGTGGTCAGTGAGAGGAGAACAGTATGTGGCGGCCCTCCAACGGTCTGAGGGACAGTGAACTAGCCCCTTGTGTAAAAAGTTTGGGGACGCTTGGTTTACAGGCTCAGAAGTGTGTCTCTGCTGATAAAAGCTGGTATAGTAACTCAAGGGGGTAGATGCTTTCTCCATTTGGAATGAGTAAAGGCAGGGAAAAAATATAATTTCACACTTTGGGAAGCTGAGGTGGGTGGATCACCTGAGGTCAGGAGTTTGAGGCCAGCCTGGCCAACAAGGTAAAACTCTGTGTCTACTAAAAATACAAAAAATTTTTAAAAATTAGCTGGCTGTGGTGGCGAGCGCCTGTAGTCCCAGCTACTCAGGAGGCTGAAGCAGGACAACTGCTTGAGCCCAGGAGGCGGAGGATGCAGTGAGTCCAGATCATGCCACTGCATTCCAGCCTGGGTGACAGAGCAAGACTCTGTCTCAAATAACCTATATATAAATCTGTGTGTGTATATATCTGTGTGTATATATGTATGTGTATATATGTGTATGTGTGTATATATGTGTATATGTATGTATATATGTGTGTATATGTATATATGTGTACATGCATGTATATTTGTGTATTTATATATGTGCATATATATGTATATATATGCATGTGTGTATATATGTGTCTGTGTATGTGTATATATGTGTGTATATAGTGTACATGTGTATATATGTGTATATGTGTGTATATATGTATGTATATGTGTGCATCTGTGTGTGTGTGTGTGTGTGTGTGTGTGTGTGTGTGTAATTTCATAAAAACTTTATAGACCTTAGTCATTTCAGGCTCCCAGTGAAGGTGAAATAGTAGCTGGAATTGTTCTTGGGAGTTTGATGACAGTGAGCCAAGGTGATTTTTAAGAAATGAAACCCAGTTCAGAGACTGGAGGTTTTTCTTTTTAAAACTTGCTATTAGTGTCAAAACTGTTATTACCATTAATTTACTGTATCAGCCAGACTAAGACACTACTTTTTTTCTGTTGACATTAAAAATACAGGAATAGTTACAAGGATGTTAAACGCCAAGATAAGTAATTTGCTTTTCATGAATATGCTATTATTATAATAATTCTTTATTTGTAAATTTTGGACTGGAACTCATTTCTTAAAATAGAGGATCTGTGTTACCAGCAAATACGGTACTGATATAAACAACCCAAACTTGGAAAGGCACAAAATAGAAGGATTTAAGATACAAATTCTGGTACAATAAGATTGGTATGCAGCATAGTATGTAACTTATAGGGGGTATTCCATAAATGTTTCTGAGTTAAATAAATGTATGAATGAATGGATGTATGAGGAAGACTTATTCCCAGAACCTCTGGCATCTGCAAAGGATATGTATGATAAAGCCTAAATCCCCCACCCCATATATGTGTGTGTGTGTTAGACAGATAGATAATAAATAGATAGCCTTAACCTTTTATTGCTTATGGTTTTAGGTGCAAGAGTTGATTACAACGTGGTGTTTGGTGGATCAAATTCAGTACTCAGATGTAGTGTGCTTTGCCCTTAACAATATTTTAAAATTTATTTTAGGGAAGGCGTGAGCTCTTGTTTGCCATAGTCACACCTCGCAACGCTGCTCCTTCCCCCTTCCTTAACCTGACTCATACATTTATGCAGCTCATCTGGCCCCAGGGAACATTTGAATTTGCTCCTTGTGATATAGTCTTTTTTTAAGCAGAGTCTCACTCTTGCCCATGCTGGAGTGCAGTGGCATGATCAGGGTTCACTGTAACCTCGAATTCCTGGGCTCAAGCAATCCTCCCACCTCAGCCCTCCAGACAGCTGGGAATACAGGTGTATGCCAGCATACCCCACTAATTTTTACATTTTTTGTAGAGATGCAGTCTTGCTCTGTTGCCCAGACTGGAGTGCAGTAGCATGATCATGACTCACTGTAACCTCGAACTGGGCTCAAGAGACCTTCTTGCCTTGGCCTACCAAGGTGCTGGGTTTACAGGCATGAGCCACCATGCCTGGCCATAGTCTTTAAGTCTCCCCAAGTGACCTCATTTTTGACATCAAGGATGGCAATATAAAATTGAAACCCTTGCACTCTGTCTCTGGGTAGAAAGTAGTGATGGTGATGATGATGATGATAGTGAAGAAGAAGAGGAAGATGATGCTATTGTCTAAAAGTTGTATAGCAGGTTGAATTGTTTTTTCAGTGTCCTTGTACATTTATTCTACCCATTTTATTTATTTATTTACTCATTTATTTATTTTTGAGATGGAGTCTCACTCACTCTGTTGCTCAGGCTTGAGTGCAATGCTGTGATCTTGACTCACTATAACCTCTGCCTCCTGGATTCAAGTGATTGTCCTGCCTCAGCCTCCCAAGTAGCTGGGACTACCGGCGTGTGCTACCACACCCGGCTAATTTTTGCATTTTTAGTAGAGATGGTTTCACCATGTTGGCCAGGCTGGTCTCAAATTCCTGACCTCAAGTGATCCACATGCCTTGGCCTCCCCATACCCATTTTAACCACACAAGAAGGTAGTACTATAGCCATTTTATGCATAAAGATATAGATATAGATGAGGGCATAAAAAATTAGAATATGAACCTTTCCCATGGTCTCACAGGAGTTGGTAGGCACTAGAATGAAGCCTGGGGACTAGTCTCTTTTTCCTGGTCATCCCTGTATCATTCACAATAGGAATGTCCACATGATGCAGTCATTTTGCTTCATTTTCCTTTGGTCAGGGTGTGTCGCTGTAGAGAAACTGAGGTCTACCAACATCCCTCTAAGGCCTGGGAAAATGCCAGTTGCCAGAATTGTACTTGTGACAAGGCCGTCTAGATTTATGATAGGCACTCTCAGCCCTCTACTCTACTGCTATCTCTAGGCTTTCTCAGCCAGCGGAAAGTGTGGTGTCCATGGCTACATTAGTTAGCTTTTCGTGGTAACAGATTACCTCAAAACTTGGTGGCTTAAAACG